ACACCCCAGTCATCTAGGGAATCCTATACCTTGAAATTCTATTAAGATGGTTTCAGAAATAGTAGTAGTCTTAGTACCTAACAAAAGTATATAAAAAATTTCCAAAGGAAGGTAACATCATATTGTCTCAAATTACTTTAAAACTTGTTCAAATGCAATAATCACAAAGCAAACCTCACTAAATTTTAATTCCCCATAGCCTTCCCTGGTCACGAAAGCATGCTTGGGTTTCCTTTACCTTTTCTATAAGTTGTACCAAAACATCCGCTTAAGTTCTTTGTACCATTCCTTCAAATAAAGAAATGTGGTAACCAGGAAAAAAAATAAGAATGAAATCATACAAAGTATCTTCTTTGACCATAAAAGAATGAAATTAGAAATCAGTAAGAAAAAGAAATCTGGAAAATTCACCAATAAGTGGAAATTAAACAACACATTCTTAGAAAACCAATGGGTCAAAGAAATCACAAAAAAGCTTAGAAAATACTTTGAGATACATTACAATGAAAACACAATATAACAAAACTTATGAAATGCAGCAAAAGCAGTGCTCAGGGGAAATTTTATAGCTGTAAATACCTCCAGTATAAAGAGGAAAGATATCAAATTAACTTAATTTTACACTTAAGAAACTAGAAAAAGAAGAGCAAACTAAACCTAGAGCTAGTAGAAGGAAGGAAATAATATTAGAGTGGAGACAGAAAAAAGAGAGAGTAGAAGAATTCAGAAAATCAGTGAAACCAAAAGTTGGTTTTTAAACAGATCAATGAAAATCTTTAGCTAGAATGACTGAGGAAAAAAGGGAAGACATAAATTGCTAAAATCAGAAATGAAAGTATGGACATTACTACCACCTTTAAGGAAATAAAAAGGAGTAGAAAAGGCTAGGCATGGTGGCTCACGCCTATAATCCCAACACTTTGGGAGGCTGAGGTGGGCGGATCATGAGGTCAGGAGATTGAGACCATCCTGGCCAACATGGTGAAACCCATCTCTACTAAAAATACAAAAAATTAGCTGGGCGTGGTGGTGTGTGCCTGTAGTCCCAGTTACTCGAGAGGCTGAGGCAGAAGAATCATTTGAACCAGGGAGTCGGAGGTTGCAGTGAGCCGAGATTGTGCCACTGCACTCCAGCCTGGAGACAGAGTGAGACTCCACCTAAAAAAAAAAAAAAAAAAAAAAATCTATATCTATATATCTAGATATAGATATATAGATAGATAGATAGATATAGATATCTATCTATATATATAGATATGTATCATTATATATATCTAGATATATATATATTTGATCATTATATATATCTATATATATCTAGATATATATAATGATCAAATATATGCCAACAAATTAAGTAATCTAGTTGAAATAAACAAATCACTAGATATATACATACTGTCAAAACTGACTTAAGAACAAATAAAAACCCTGAGTAGACCTATAACAAGCAACAAAATCAGTAATAGAAAACCTCCCAACAAATAAAATCCTAGGACCAGAGGTTCTCACTGGTGAATCCTATCAAACACTTCAAAAATAGTGCAAAACAATTCTTCTCATCCTCTTCCAAAATAGAAGAGGAAGGAATACTTCCTATTTCATGAGGCTATTATTATCCTGACACTAATGCCAAACAACTAAAGACTAGTATCTCTTATGAATACAGATGCAAGCATTCTCAACAAATAACAAGCATGAAGTTAAAAAATTAACAGGTTAAAAATACAGTATATCTGTGCCTTATAAATTACCCATCTCAGGTATTTCTTCACAGCAGTGTGAGAATACACTAATACACTGAATATACATCTAAAGGAATATAAATCATTCTATTATAAAGCCACATGCATGTGTAAGTTCACTGCAGCACTATTCACAATAGCAAAGTCATGGAATCAACTTAAATGTCCATCACTGATAAGCTGGATAAAGAAAATGTGGTACATATATATCATGGAATGCTATGTAGCCACATGGAATGCTATGCAGCCATAAAAAAGAACAAGATCATATAGTATGCAGGGACGTGGATGGAGCTGGAGGCCATTATCCTTAGCAAAACTAACACAGGAACAGAAAACCAAATACTAAATGTTCTTACTTATAAGTGGGAGCTAAATGACAAGAACACATGGACCCACAGAGGAAAACAACACACACTGGGGCCTTTTGGATGGTGGAGGGTAGCAGGATAGAGAGGATCAGGAAAAATAACTAATGGGTACTAGGCTTAACACCTGGGTGATGAAATAATCTGTACAACAAACCCTCATGACACAAGTTTACCTATGTAATAAATCTGCACTTGTACCCCTGAACTTAAAAGTTAAAAAAAATACCACAACTTGTGTGAAAAATGTTCCTATAAATTAGCACCATCAGGCTGGATGTGGTGGTTCATGCCTGTGAGCAAAACTTTGGGAGGCCAAGTTGGGAAAATAATTTGAGACTAGGAGTTCACCACCAGCCTGGGCAACATAGCAAGGCCTGGTATCCACAAAAAGATTTTTAAATTAGCCAGGCGTGGTAGCTCACACCTGTAGTCCCAGCTACTAGGGAGACTGAGGCAGGAGGAACTGTGTGAGCCCCGGGGCTGCAGTAAGCTATGATTGCACCACTGCATTCCAAACTGGGAAACGGAGTCAGATCCTAACTCTAAAAAAAATAAAACTAAAAACAAAACCAGCACCATTAATATTCCTCATTGAGTTTTTTTTTTTTTTTTTTGAGACGGAGTTTCGCTCGTTACCCAGGCTGGCATGCAATGGTCCGACCTTGGCTCACTGCAACCTCTGCCTCCTGGGTTCAAGCAATTCTCCTGCCTCAGCCTCCCGAGTAGCTGGGACTACAGGCACACGTCACCACGCCCAGCTAATTTTTGTATTTTTAGTAGAGGCAGGGTTTCACCATGTTGACCAGGATGGTCTTGATCTCTTGACCTCGTGATCCACCCACCTCAGTCTCCCAATCCTCACTGAGTTTTTATCATAAATTTATTTGCCTTTAAAAAAGTACTTTTCTGGCCAGTGTGGTAGCTCATGGTGTTAATTCCAGCTCCTTGGGAGGCCAAGGTGAAAGGATAACTTGAAGCCAGGAGTTCAAGACCAGCCTGGGCAACATAGTGAGACCCTCCACCTCTACTAAGATAAATTAATAAATACAATAAGAATAACAGTATTTTTCACAAGGAAGCCACAATAAGTGAGTCCAGAAGAGATGACTAAAATAGTGTGTTTTTATCAAGGCAAGCCTCATTTTATAAATCTGAAAAATAATATAATTTTGAAATTATTATTGACAAACTGTATTTTTTAAAACTGAGGTATAATTAGCATGCAATAAAGATATAAGTACTCAGTTTGATGAAGTTTGATGACTGCACACAAGTATGTAACCACCACCTAAAACAAAATACAGAACACATTTTAATCCCCCTAGAAATTTCCTTATGACCCTTTTCAGTAAATTATCCTTCCCTCAACACCTTGATGTTTCTTTTTAAAAAATATGAACCATCTATAAGTTAAAGCTGTCATATTCATGAAATAACAATTCAATTTTTCTTTATATGAGTCTTCCAAGGGAAGCTAGCTGAAAAACGTCTGAAAAACATTTTCAGTTTACTTTGGGCTATATACTTGTCACCTTCTGACAAAATATGGGTGTCATACAAGCTATATTCAGTTATGTATCAGTTGCAATGGGGAAACAACTATGCAAGCTGAGAATATAGTAAAGGGACCAAAAGAAGAGATTCCTAGTATTGAATGCTTCCCATTTCTTCAGCTGAAGACTTCCAGCTGAGAATAGCAGAAGCAGAACCATGGGGTTTCGAAGATAGGCAGTGTCTAGCAAGACCCAAACACAGTTTTCTGAATATAATTAGGTTGAAAAAGCTCTAAAGGCTTAGTGATTTATACTCTCTGAGCCTAGGCATGCGTTACATAGCCAAAACAGTTTGCAAATAGAGGAAAATGGTAGGGAAGAGTTTCCACTTTTCTACCTTGCACAGGTATCTGTGAATGAATTTTACAAGATCAATTTTGAAAATACCAAAGGATGGCATAGTCTGCTATAGGTATTACAACATAAACTGTGATTTCACATCTCTCAATTCACTTCAAATCATGAATGCTGCCAGCTATGTGGTTTGCTTATTCAGGTTCAAAAGAATTACAGCTGAATCTCTATTTAAATTTGGCAGGATTCTATAAAGTCAGGAAAGGCAATTGGACAAACTCCATGTCCAATCCATCTGCTTAAACTGTTTACTTATGGTAACAGCATACACATGTCTCATGTTACTGATAAACCACAGAAAGCTTCTGGGATGCTGTTACTATCCAAACGTAAATGTAATGTTTATCATCACAAAGTAATGAGAAAAGTCAATGCAAATACAGATCACGTTCACTTGGACGAAATTTAATACAATGCTAAGAACAAGGAAAATGCTTTTGCATATGTAAGAGTTTTTAAACTCTTATTTGAAATAATTGAACATTTCTTCAACAAAAGGATCTTTTATTCGGAGCAATTTATCTTAAATTCTAAAAATTTATTTTATTATTAAACATGAACATACAGAAAAGTCAGAAAAATTAGCAAACATGTATGAACAAATTAAAGAACAATTTTAATGTGAACACTGTGTAACCAGTATCCAGTCAAGGAAAAGAAAGCTAGAAGCACTAAAGAAGCCACCTATATGATTTTTTCTGATCACACATCCCACCCTTCTCTCTGAACAATAACCATCCTGATTTCTAGGAAATTCCTTGTTCTATTTTCTTTACAGTTTTACCACCTATGTGTATAACCCAAAACAATATAGTTTTGTCTTTTGTTGAACTTTATATGACTGGAATTTGCAGTAGCAAATATATTTTTTGGTGACTTGTTTCACTAACGAGTTTGTGAGATACATCCACATTGTTATCCATAGATGTAGTTGACTCATTTTTATAGTTGAATAATAGTCCATTACATGGACATACCGTAATTTGTATCTCCAGCTGTTGATGGATTCTTGGGCTATTCTCCATATGTGGTGATTACAAACAATGCTGCCATTGAATAATTGTGTACATCTTGCCTGGGGCATATATGCATTGTTTTCCAGAGTATATACCTAAAAGTGAAATACGATAACACATGTCTACAAGTTTAGTAGAGGATAGCAGACTGTTTGCTACATGGGAGGGTCAACTTATGTTATCACAAACAGTGTGTGTTCCCATTGCTCTAGATCTTTGCCATTACTTGGTATTTTCAATCCAATTTTTGTCATTCTGATAAGTGAATCACATTGCCACGTTGAATTTTTCATTTGAATTGTCCAGATTACTAAAGAGTTGACTATCTTCACATTCATTTTTTTAGCTATCTGGATTTCTCTCAGAATGCTCATTATCCTACTGGTTTGGTTTGTGTTTATGTCTCATTAATTTGTAGGAATTCCTTATATACTTGGATGCCACTCTTATGTTGATTATAGGTATAAAAAATATTCTTCCCTTCTAATACTTGTCTTGTTACTCTCTTCTTGGTGTCTTCTGATGAAAAAAAGTTCTTATTTTCAATGCAGCCCAATTTATCAAGTTTCCCTTTACTGTTAATTTCTCTTGTGTCCTTTTCTTGTCCAGGCAAAACTCTGAGGTAAAGAAGAGATTAGTCTAAAAATTAGTTTTTTCGTTTTATACTTAGATCCATCTGGAATTAATTTTTTGCTTATGATGTGAGATAAAAGTTACATTTTTTAAAAAAACAAGGATATTCAATCATTATAGCATTATTCGCTAAATAGAGCATACTTTCCCACAATGCTTTGTGATGCTCCTTTTTTCCCACATGCGCATAGATAAGTGCCTCATGTGTCACGAATCAAGTATATACATACAAATGGGACTGTTTATGAATTCAATTATGTTCCATTCTTCTTTTTCTCGATCTCATCTCCAATAGTACACTATCCTAATTACCATGGCTTAATAAAAAGTATTTATACTTGGTAGAGCAAATCTTCCCATATTGTTCTCTCCCACCCCCACACAAGTCTTGCTCTGTTGCCCAGGGCGGAGTGCAGTGGCGCGATCTTGGCTCACTGCAACCTCTGCCTCCTGGGTTTGAGCGATTTTCCTGCCTCAGCCTCCCAGGTAGCTGGGGTGAGCAAGCACAACCACACCTGGCTAATTTTTGTATGTTTAGTAGAGACAGGGTTTCACCATGTTGGCCAGGCTGGTCTTAAACTCCTGTTCTCAAGTGATCCATCCGCCTCAGCCTCCCAAAGTGCTGGTCATATTGTTCTTTTTCAACAGTGTTTGGGACACTGTTTCATTAGGTTTTTGAAATTCTGTATTTTAGAATCTGCACCTAAATATTGGAAAGTGTTGGAATTTTAAATAAGATTTCACCGAATCTACAAATAAGTGCGTCCAGAAAAGAAAAATATACCACAGTGAGTTTTCCAATCCATAAACATTATAGATTTACTCCTATTTAATATTTTGATTATATATAAATATAATTGATTTTTATATCCTGCCCTTAGTAGCCTTGTTAATCTATTTGTGCTAATATTTATCTGTAAATTATTTTAAATTTTCTATGTATAACATATTATTTGCTAACAATGAATGTTTCACTTTTTCTCTCAAATCTTACAAGTTTTGTTTATTTACTTTTCCACTAGTTAGAACCTCAATTTTAAGCATAAGTGTTGGCAGCAGGTATTCTCCTTTTGTACACAATTTCAAAGGGAAAATTTTCAACATTTCACCAGTAAACATTGTTTTGCTATAATATTTTTTGGTAGATTCAATTTGTCAGATTAAGGAAATTCCATTCTACTCCAGGTTTACTATGAATCTTCATCATTAATTGATGCTGAGCTTACCAAATGCTTTTGTTGCATCTTTTGAGATTTTTTTTCTTCTGTTAATACAATAGATCATAATTTTCCAAAGTGTATATCCTTCTTTTTGTTTTTTTTATTATTTTAAAAAATAAGTTCTGGAGTACATGTGCAGATCGTGCAGGATTGTCACACAGGTATACACATGTCATGGTGGTTTGCTGCATCCTTCCCCCTGTCATCTACATTAAGTATTTCTCCTAATGTTATCCCTCCAAATCCCCCTACTCCCTGCTATCTCTCCCCTACCTCCCCACTCCCCAACGGGCTCTGGTGTGTGACAGTCTCCTCCCTGTGTCCAGTGTTCTCATTGTTCAACACCCACTTATGAGTGAGAATATGCAGTGTTTGGTTTTCCGTTGTGTCAGTTTACTGACAAGGATGGTTTCCAGCTTCCTCCATGTCCCTGCAAAGGACATGAGCTCAACCTTTTTTATGGCTGCATAGTATTCCACGGTGTATATGTGCCACATTTTCTTTATCCAGTCTATCACTGATGGACATTTGAGTTGGTTCCAGGTCCTTGCAATTGTAAACAGTGCCACAATGAACATATGTGTGCATGTGTCTTTATAACAGAACATTTTATAATCCTTTGGGTATATACCCACTAATGGGATTGCTGGGTCAAATGGAATTTCTATTTCTAGGTCCTTGAGGAATCACCACACTGTCTTCCACAATGGTTGAACTAATTTATACTCCCATCAACAGCGTAAAAGCATTCCTATTTTTCCATATCTTCTCCAGCATCTGTTATCTCCTGATATTTTAGTGATCGCCATTCCAACTGGCGTGAGATGGTATCTCAATGGGGTTTTGATTTGTATTTCTCTAACGACGAGTGATGATGAGCTTTATTTCATATGTTTGTTGGCCATATAAATGTCTTCTTTTGAAAAGTGTCTGTTCATATCCTTCGCCCACTTTTTGATGGGGTTGGTTTTTTTCTTGTAAATTTGTTTCAGTTTTCTACAGACATTTCCTTCTTATATTCTTCCCTTTATTTTGTATATATTTTTCTCTCCATGCTCAGTCTGGATTCTTTCTTATGATTTATCTTCCAGTGTATGGTATATTCTACTGTTACCTCATCTATAATTTTTGTAATTTTTATTACTAAAATGTTCAGTTCTCAAATTCTGTTTTCTCAAATGTGCTACATATCTTTAAAAAATAATTAATAATTATATTTTTGATCATGGTAAGCATAGTTCTGAAGCCTCTGTAGGTCTGTTTTTAATGGATTTTATGCATATTTTCTTGTCCCTTTGTATGCTTAATCACCTTACTGTGCCAAATAATGCATTTGAAATTTATTTTGTTGAGATAATTTGAGACTTAAGTTGCTATTATTTTTCTCCAAAATAAATTTTCCAGTTGCTTCTGTTAGACACATGGGGTATTAGCAATTTAGGATCATTTAAATCTTTTTCAGCAATTTGGATTTTCCCAGCCACCTACATGATTTGAAATAGAGCTGTCTGCGTAGTGACTGGTATACTTCCTGTCTACCCACTTTCCTTGTACAGTCCTTTAAGATCCCAAACCAAAATGTGAGTTTTTTTTTGCCACAGTCCCTACCATTGATTATCTTAGATGCCACATTTATTTTCTCACCAGTCCTGCAAATAATCTCAAAAGTACTAATGAAACTCATGTCCACTTCTTTTGGATCATCAATGGTACCTAGTTCCAAAATGCCAAATTGCTGGATCTTGGCCCAGTAATTATTCATTACCCTGTTTGTATTTCAGCTTTATTTCATATATATATTTTTTTGGTCATCAGTGGGAGGATAGTCCTGAATTATCTACTGTTGCTATTGCCAAGTCTATTCTACAGAAATTTTCAAGTTTGCCTTTTACTTCCTCAGAAGACAGCAAGCATAGTTTTATAATCTGTTACTAGTAATAACAGAGGCTTGCAGTTCTAGTTTCTGCTTGTTCATCATGACTGACTGACTTTTGGGCTTATCTTTTCACCATGGCTATGTGTCCTTGTAAAATTATTTAACAGAAATTATCTGAGGACTAGAATGAAGGTGTCTTCTTCCAATGAGGATTTGTACTCTCTTCTGCTTGGTTCCTAAGGACACCACAAATCAATCTAGGACAACTTTAAACTCAATTCACCATTTGAAATAATACAGATGATGTGAATTTGAGCAGCAAATCTATGCCAAGGGCTGGAAGATGGGTATAAATTCTGCATTGTGCCAAGGTTTTTTCTTCATAGTCCTGAGGGAGGGATGAGAAGGTTCATGATTAAGTGATGGAGCAGGCTAATGTGGTCTTATCTTTATGAAAGAAAAATCTCCTATTTGATCTCCTGCCCTAGGCAGCCCTAAGAACTTTTACTTTTATCACCTTACATGATGATGCTTATAAACCAAACCCACATTTGCCAGTCTGGCACAAGCTTTTTGGGGCAATTCAGTAATCGGCACAACTTTCTAAATTCTTGCTTTTTCTTTGGACTGGGAATACTTTAATTTCTTCCTAGCTCTTTGATGATTTCAAGAAAACTGCTTTCTTCCCCACCCAGCATTTTCATATGTTTTTCTTGGGGGTGGTGGTACCAGGACCCTAGACTGAACTATGTTAATAAACAGAAGTAGCTTTAGACTTTTTTTTAAAGCATAACACATAAAAAAAACTTACAGACTTAATTTCTGAATGAAGTCAGAAAACCCCAAAAACCAGAAGGGACCTAAAATGTGCAGTAAGTGCTGCAAACCCAGGTCTCCTCGGTTTCCTGACCCCTTCCATGACAAGAGCGTTTCTATACATCACAAGTCTAACCCGTTAGGTCTAAAATAGTTCTCAAAACTTGAAAAAAATTATCTAAAGAAACACTGTATCAAGTATTAGTAGAAAGCATCTGTGTTTTGAGGTCTAAAACAAGCAAATAAAGACCTCCAGATTCATCTCTCACCAGTCCTCCATTAGTGCTTACACTTGCCCAGGTTCTTCCAGTCCTGCCTTGTCTCTTCTACACTGTCTTCGAATATCCTTCACTGGGTACTTGGCTTTGGCTCTAATGAGTTTGTTACTCCAGGCAGTTTTCCAAACAAAAAGGAATGGTTATTTACAATTCCTAGACTGAAATCATAAATATGACCTGTTGAATTACACTAAAATGTCAGTATTACCCTACAGAAGTCTTCATAAAGTAAAAGTGTCTTGGCTAGGAAAAAAGGATTTTAGTTATAAAAGTAGCAAAAGGATCTTATTGTAGGTAAGTCTAAATTCTTAGGTGGTCCTGCAGTGTATACTCTGAGGGCAGCTTTACAGCAAGGTTCCTGACACAGACCATTTAGACTGGAAGCCAGACAACATTTTTCTCCCCCAAATTATAAGAAATCAGTGGTATTTCAGTAAATTGCCCCTTTGTGAATTAAATAACTTCAGTTACATTTTCATACTGAATACGTTTCTTATACAGATCATTTTGCCTTTTCTTCAAAAGTTCTATATCTTTAATCTAAAACAATATTCATGAGATAAGATACATGTAGCAGTGTCTTCAAGCAATTGCCTTTTAATTCAAAGTACTCTTATCTTTACAAAAATAATCAAGGCACATGAAATCTTTAAATACTTCATTCAGCAAATGTGTGACAACTACCAGTTTCTGAACCTCTGACACCCTGAAAGGGATGTGTTACACACAAGAACTGACTTTACAGCTCCGCCACAATGCCACACTGAATATGCTGCTTTCGATTCCTCCAATGTAGCTGAGCACTATCTTGTAAAGTTGGTCATTCATATGCCTGATAACCGCACAATTCCACCATTGAGGCATATGCCCTATATCAGAATAGTGATTCTCAAAATATGGTCCTTGCACTAGCAACATCAATATGACTTAGGAATTGTTAGACATACAAATTTTCCGGACCCTCCCTAAACCTACTTAATCAGAAATCCAGGGGGCGAGGCCCAGCAATCTGTGTTTTAACAAGTCCTCTAGACAATTCTGATGGAAACAAAAACCTGAGACTCTCAGCTTTAAAGAAATTCTTATTTACTCTGATATAAGAATGTTTGAGCAGCACTGTTTGCCCATGCTTGCGTGTTCTCACTCTCTCTCACACTCACATACTCACACTGACACACACACACACACACACACACACACACACACACATTCTGAAATGTTCATTGTCAGGAGAATAGATTTATAAACTGTAGTATTAACACAATGAAGGACTTACTCTACAGCAGAGAAAAGCAATGAAAAACAGCTATATTTATAAGGCTAAATAAAACTTAGAACCATAATTTTGACTGAAAAAAATAATCGTAGAGGTCTATGGTAATGGTATTTTATGAAGGTCAAAACCAAGCAAAACCAAGTAACATTATTTAACAGTACATGTACGTGATACAGCAATAAAGCTATTTCTATAAAACAATAATACATCTTTAATTCTACACAGTATTTCCTTTAGAGGAATCATGGATGGGGTGAGAATGGATCATACTGGGAACCATAAATGCAGTGGTAACAATCTTACTTCTAAACTGTGTGGTAAGTTCACAGCTGTTCACTGTATTAGCATTACTTTTTATTATTATTTCTTTTGTATATACCAAATCTTACATAACAACCTTTATACCCAGAAAAAGGGGTTGTGGGGGGGGAACTATAGCTAATAAATGGAAGTGGCCATTACTTTAAATAGAAAATTAGAAACCACCTAAATGTTATACATTATGTAAAATGTGATATGTTCATTCCATTAAAGATTTGTAAAGACATGATAAAGTATTTATAATAAAATAAGCCAGATAAAATAATGTAAAAAATTCCAATACAAGGTTCAGAAGAAAATACAATAAAGTGTTATCAGTTGATATTACAGGGAGTTTTCTTTCTTCTTCGTACATTTAACATTTTTCTATAGTGAATAATAAATACTTTAAAAATCACTGAGGATGTTTAAACTATAACTGAGATATTTAATGGTTCTAAGTCATTAAAGAAAACTGCCAAATCTATTGGAATCAGGGATATTGGTATTTTTGTAGAAATCTGGTTGTGATTTATGAGGTTTTATAATTCAAAGTATTCCATTTTCTGTCATAAAATCATACATCTTTATTATTGTGATTCCTGAAAAAATAATTTCAGTTTGTGTGGGGAAAACATGACTGAGGAAACTATGACCTAAAGAGGACTTCAATTAAAAAAACCTGAAAACAGATTCAATTAACAACTGAAAAGAACAAAAGTAAAAAAAAAATCATCTATTATTGACCCGCTTTAGAAAACACAGAGGAAAGGCATACACTGAGTCTGCCTTACAGTTCTACGTACTATCATAGTGAGAAAGGATTACACAGATTGAGGTTCAAAAGCCAGAGATTAGTTACACACCTCTTTTTCCAGTATTCTAGTGATCTCTCCTAGGGTCCGATCCAAAGCAGATACTTTATTGTTTGCCCATGAGCCACTGTCTTGTATTTGTAGTTGTTTTAGAAGATCTTTGGCTAATCGCTGAAGCCTTTAATACCAAATGAAAGGAAAGAATGACATTAATGAATTAGACTATAATATTTCATTTTCCAAAACATTTTGAAACACAAGTTACTTTCAGTATTTGAAAATACTTCACAGAGTACCTGAGGGAAGAAAAAAACCAGACAACTAATAAAGCTGGTGTTATTTTATATTCATGACCACCAGTCCTCTCTTCACGGCACAAAACAGAACTAGAGGACAGTATTATCCATCTACAGGATTAGCTACAGCAATTGATACCATTAGTTTCTGTATAATTCTCAAATTGGAACAGAATTAGGAATGGAGAGAAGGTGAGAAGATGACAGCAGAGGAAATGAGTATACTAACCTGAGCAGGTTTTCACATATTGATTTAAATCTTCAAATAGGTTTGGATATTATTACCTTTATAAACCCTCAGAATGTTGAACTTCTAAATGTTTGTTTACAGGCAGTTTGGGGATTATCTGCTACTGCTCATGTCATTTACTTAGAAAACAGAACATTTATTTGCTTTTCACTAAGAAATACCACATTATACCTGGACTGTAAGAGTCTTTATTCAGATCACCGTGTGCGGTACTTCTTTGTGGCCCCTATATGGTTTCATGCACCTCACTCTTGGAGCAACCCTCCTCTGCTTTCCACGTATCTGCTTGAGCATCCACTAATAGATGCTCATCAGATCTCCCCACTTTCCCCCTATAGATCACCCCCAGTGCCTTACTTAAATTTTTATCTGTGGTAGATTCCACAGTACATTATTATAATCATTTTCTTGCAAATGTCCTACATTTCCTCTCTGTTGTTCTGTTATTTACTCTGCTTAGACAAACCCCAGCAGTGGTAATAATGTTTGTTTGGCTCTTACTATGTGCCAGGCACCACTCTCAGTGTCTTGCATGCATTAATTTCTTTAGCTGGATTAATGAAAACAACTGCCAGACTTTTCCATTTCTGAACCTGGGCAGGGAGAAAAGTAAGAACATGCAAAAAACTGGTAGGACTACGACTCAAGTTCTTACTAAATCTCTCTAGGGTGCTCATTCTCCCACTGTCCACAAAGATTTGCTTCATACATTCCCCACTCTCTTCAAAACTCCACCCTTTCCTTTCTCTCTCTTGCTTTCATAAGATGATCCTACATTTCAGAGAAAACAGAAGTTATTAGAACAAGAAAATTTTCACTTTCAGCCATAAAATCTACAAACTTCTCTGCATTTCACCCAACAAGGTCTTCTTTGCTCCTCTTATTTAGTCCTGCTAGGCAGGACTGATCTCACCACACAGGATGTACGCATGAGTTCTTTTTAGATCTAGAGATCTAGATCTCTAGAAGAAACCAGCTCTCTCTTCTTCCTGTTTCAGGGCTTTCTGCAAATGTTCTTCATCTTTTCCTTCTGAAATGCTTCCTCCACTCCCACATTACCTAGAACATTACTATTTATCCCTCAGCTCTTAGCACAAACAATACTTGCTCTGATTTGACTTTCTTTAAAGCATTCATCACAAGAGAATTAAAAATACTTATTGAACTAACTATTTAATGTGTGCTTCTCTCATGCAAAGCTTTACAAGGGAATTTCCTGAAGTGACAGAAATGTTCCGTATTTGCACTGTCCAACATGGTGGCTAGAAGCAGAGTACTGAACAGTGCAGAAGCAGAGTATTAGCTTCATGAGAGAGGTGGTTGTCTATATGTTCACTATCCTTATCATGTAACATGTTACTTATACAGAAGTACACTCATTAGATAGTTAATGAATTAATGTCCTACAGAGAAAATTGCTTCTTCCCATTAATTTTATCTAGACCAGGGATGGTGGCTCATGCTTGTAATCCCAATACTTTAGGAGTTCAAGGCAGGAGGCTCACTTGAAGCCAGGAATCTTAGATCAGCCTGGTTAACAAAGTGAGACCCAGTCTCTACAAGAAAATAAAAAAATTAAAAAAAACTTTGCTGGCAATGGTGGCGTGCACCTGCAGTCCTAGCCACTCAGGAGGCTGAGGTGGGAGGACTGTTTAAGCTATGGAGTTCCAAACTGCAGTGAGCTATTATTACACCACTGCATTCTAGCCCAGGCAAGAGAGTGAGGCTCTCATCTCTAAAAAAAAATAAATAAATAACTTAATAGGTTACAAAATACTTTCATGTACATGATCTTATTTAATCCTCTCAACAACACTGTCCATTAGTATTATCCTATTTGAAAAAATGCAAAAACTGAGGCAGAGCAAGATGGCCAAATAGCCTTCACAGATTGTCTTTCCTGCAGGAACACCAAATTGAACAACTATCCACATAAAAAAGTACCTTAATAAGAACCGAAAGTCACGCGAATCACCACAGTACCTGGTTTTAACTTAATATCACTGAAAGAGGCACTGAAGAGGCCAGGAAAGACAGTCTTGCAATGCTGATGCCACTCCTCCCCCATCCCCTGGCAACCACCCCGTGGTACAGAGAGAATCTATGCATTTGGGAGAGAGGGAGCACAGTGACAGTGGGACTTTGCACTGGAAATCAGCTCTAGCCGGTCACAGGGGAAAGCAACAGGACAGAATTCAGCTGGCACCCACAGAGAGAGCATTTAGACCAGCCTTACAGAGAGGGGCATCACCCATCCCAGTAGTCGGAAGCTGAGTTCCAGCAAGCCGTGTTACTTCAGGTTAAAGTGGTCTGGGGACTGAAATAAACGTGAAAGGTGGTTTAAGCCACCAGAACTGCAATTCCTGGGCAAGTCCTTGTGTTGTGCTGGGCTTGGAGCCAGTGGCCTTGTGCAAGAATGGGACCTACTAGAACAGCCAGGCAGCCAAGGGAGTGTTTGCACCACCCCTCCCTCAACCCCAGGCAGCTCACAACTCTGGTACAGACGCCTTCCCTATGCTTGAGGACAGGGAAGAGTAAAGAGGACTCTGTGCCAGGCACAGTGGCTCAGATATATAATCCCAGCACTTTGGGATGCTGAGGCAGGAGGATTTCTTGAGCCCTGGAGATTGAGACCAGCCTGGGCAACAAGGTAAAAGCCCCAAAAATATAAAAATTAGCTGGGTATGGTGCCACACACTTGTAGTCCCACCTACTTGGGAGGCTGTGGAGGCAGGATGGATTGAGTCTTAAAGTTCAAGGCTTCAGTGAGCTATGATCATGCCACCGCACTCTAGCCTGGGTGAAGGAGGAAGATCCTGTCTCAAAAAAATGTTTTTTAGAAAGAGGACTTAGTCTTCCAACTTGGAAACCAGGTAAGCCATAGTAGGACAAAATAACTGGGCAGAATCCTGAGGCTCCCATTCCAGGCCCTAGCTCCTGGATGACATTTTTAGACATGTCCTGGGCAAAAAGGCAATGGACTACCTGAAGGGGAAAGACCCAGTCCTGGAAGGATTTGTCATCTGCTGATGAAATAGTGCTTGGGCCCTGAATAATTAGCAGTGGTACCCAGGAAGCACTCGCCAAGGGCTTTGGGTGAGATACAGAGACATGCTGGCTTCAGATGGGATACAGCACATTCCCCGCTGTGGTGGCTACGGGAGAGATTCCTTCTGCTTGAGAAAAAGGAAAAGCAAGGGAACTTTGGTTTACAGCTTAGGTACCAGCTTGCCCAGTCGGGTAGAGTACTCAGTGGGTTCTTGAGGTCCCTGATTCTAGGCCTTGGCTTTTGGATGGTATTTCTACACCTGCCCTGGGTCACAGAGGAGCCACTGTCCTGAATGGAGAGGCCCAGGCCAGGCAGCATTCACCGCAAGCTGAAGGAAGAGCCCTTGGGCCCTGCGTGAACATTGGCAGTAGCCAGGTAGTACTCACCATGGGCCTGGGGTGGTGGTGGCCACAGGGAGAGACTTCCCTGACTATAGAAAGGGGAGGCAAGAGTGGGATGGACTTTGTCTTGTGGTTTGGGTGTCAGCTCAACCACAGTAGAACAGGGCACCAGGTTGATTCCTAAGGTTTCTGACTGTAGGCCCTGGCTCCTTGGATGGCATATCTGGACCTGCTTGGGCCAGGCAGAACTTGCTGCACTGAAGGGAAAGACATAAGCCTGGCTAGCTCTGCCACCTGCTGACTGTGGAGCACTAGGGGGACTTGAGCAAACAAAGGTGGTAGCCAGGCAGTGGTTACTGCGGGCCCTGGGCAAGACACAGTACTCTGCGCTTCAGGTCTGACCTAGCACAGGCCCAATGGTGGTGGCTACAGGGGTGTTTGTGTCAAACCTCATCCAGCTGCAAGCAGCTCAGCACAGAGAGAGACACTCCATTTGTCTGGGAGAAAATAAGGGAACAAGAATCTCTGCTGGTTGTCCAGAAGATTCTCCCGGATCTTATCCAAGACCACCAAGGCAGTACCTCTATGAATCTACAAGAGCCACAGTGTTACTGGGCTTGGGGTTCCCCCTAATGCAGATATAGCTACAGTAACCAGTAATTTAGGCTTCAACACCCAAGTCTCTTTGGATACCTGGAAAGCATTCCTAAGAAGGACAGGTACAAACAAGCCCACATCGTGAAGGCTACAATAAATGCCTAACTCTTCAATGCCCAGACACCTACAAACATCCAACATGACCTCATCTAATGAGCTAAATAAGGCACCAGGGACCAGTCCTGGAGAAATACAGATAAGCGACCTTTCAGGCAGAGAATTCAAAATAGTTGTTTTCATGAAACTCAAATTCAAGACAACACAGAGAAGGAATCCAGAATTCTATCAAATAAATTTAACAAAGAGGTGAAAACAATTAAAAATAATCAAGCAGAATTTCTGTAGTTGAAAAATGCGGCTGACCTACTGAAGAATGTATCAGAGTCTCTTACCAGCAGAAATGATCAAGCAGAAGAAAGGATTAGTGAGCTTGAAGACAGGCTATTTGAAAACAGTGGAGACAAAGAGAAGGCAGAGAGAACGACCAGGCAGAAAGTTTTCTCAAAGGGATAATAATAGTACT